TCCCGGGCTGGCTTTGCTTGCAAAACTTGGCCAGCCGTTGAAACCTCTGGAGCTCCTGGCTTGCCCACCCCGGCTGCGGCAGGAGGGATAGGGGGATGAGGGGTGGGAAGGAGTCTGGCTCCGGGAGGGCCCAAAGATCCCTCACTTCCCCATGTGTGGTCCCGCTCCGCTTGCCAGAGGGCCCCGCTCAAGTGGGGCAGAGCCAGACAGGTGCTCTTGGCGGCACGGAGGCTGAGGTCTTGGGGCTCCCCAGGGCTGACCAGGGGCGCTGGCACCTCTGAGTGGAGGGGACAAGAAACCTCCATGGGGCCTGCATTGGGGCAGCAGTCCCAGTGACCTTCACACTTGGCTGGGAACCCCCATTCAGGGTCTCAGGTCACTGGCTGTGGGTCACATCTGACTTGCCTCAGGGGTTCAGCAAGAGGCTCAGGGTGCGGCGTGTCCTGGCTGGCTGTGTGAGGCCAAGCACATCCTTCTCTCCTCTGAGCCTCAGTTCCCTGAGCGTTAAAAGGGGCACATCCATCTGGGGACCCAGCTCCCATCACCCTCTACTCTTCCTGGTGCTTCAGAAATAAAGCTTCGAGGAAGACGGCTGACCCCATGGACAAAGACCCCAAAAGTGGGCACATGAGCCCCTGTCCTTGTCCTGCTCATGGTCAGGGTGAGGGACTCTCCAGGGGCTCCTTGGAACTGGTGATGGAGGGTGAGGGATGGCGTGGCTGGGGGAAGGAGCTTCTGGGGGATCAGGGAAGGCTCCCTGGATGGGATAGGGAGTGGACAGGAGCAGAGGTCCTGGGTAGACTTAGTGGGGACTGTCCCAGAGCAAGAGCAGGTGCAGAGGCCTAGGTGACCCACCAGGGCACAGCCGGGGAGGTGGGATGGGCCTCCATGGGAAGGCCTAGCCTGCAGGGTGGACCCTGTGTGCACACTGCAGAGAACCACCAGGGGAGTTTGGCAGAAGTGGTCTTCCTGTGGCAGGGAGGTAACCTGGCCTCCACCATAAGTCTGGGCCATGGACTCAGGTCCTGGGATGGGGGAGAGGAGGCTGTTCAGTGAGGGTTAGCCCCAAGATTTCTCCCCTGAGCAGGCTGTGCTGGTTTACGCTAGGTGTGGAGTCCAAGGTGGTGGGCAGGGGTGGTCTCCTCCTGACCCGGGATTCTATCTTGGTTTCTCCTCCTGTCTCCAGGTCCAGAGACCCCTGAGAGTTCTGCATGTGCTGAGATTGTTGGGGGTGCTTGGGAACAAGCTTATGGAGGGAGGTGGAGTGTGGGGTCAGGAGCAGGAGCCGTGGTGGTCAGCCTGGGGCAGGGGCTGGGAGCAGGGTAGGGGCTGGAGTGGCATCTCAGAAAGCTGGGGCCTGTGTGAGGAGCTGTCAGGCAGTACAGGCTCTGAACATGCTGGCTGTCTCATAGAACATTCCGGGGACTCTAAGCTGGTGGCAGGGCCCTTGTGCTGCCCACCTCGAGGTACTGTGGACTATGTTCCAGTCACACCCGAACTGTGCCTTCCACAGACGGGCTGCCTCCTCCAAGAGGCACATCCTCTCTCCCAGCCCAGCACAGGAGCTTCCTGCAGGTCTGTCCTGCTGTCTCCTGTAGCTGCATGTTCCCAGCAAAATTACTAAAGCAAGAATAAGCTGGAGTCACTCCTAGCCCAGTACTGAATGAGACCCTGCCCACTCTCAGGAGCACCCCAGGCTCCTCCCTCACATGTGAGCCAGGGTGTCCCACTAACACCACATTGAACGGCACCCCTGGAAAAACAGTCTCCAATCCCATGCACAAAGTTTGATCCTGGGGCACCAGGGAATCGAAGCACAGGCTTTGGGGTGACCAGTAACTGCCGCCACCTGGCAGCTCAGCTCCCTGCTCTCCTGGTATCATCGTTCTCCCAAAGTCAGTCCTGCAACCTGGTGGGAAGTAGCAACGAAAATAATTTTCTGGGCTCGGCACTTGTGGCTCAAGTGGCTAAGGCGCCAGCCACATACACCTAAGGTGGCGGGTTTGAATCCAGCCTGGACCCGCCAAACAACAATAATGGCTGCAACCAAAAAATAGC